TGTGTGTGGGTGTGTGCGTGTGTGTGTGTGTGTGTGTGCGTGTGTATGTGTGTGGTGCGTGTGTGTATATAACGCCGCCTCGCGTCTCGCCGGTGCGGCGATCGCCGTCCGGACGTCCTCGGGACACCTTGGCGGTACTCCCGGAACTCCAGGTGAGTCTCTTACGTGATCGTTTACGAAGGTGCGCGCCGTCGCACGGACGAGCGTCGTCCGCGCGGTTCCCTCGACCCAGGCCGACAGGCGAGGGGCGCCCCGCGTGTCACGTTTGACATTCAGCGACGTGTCTCCGTCGTGAAAACCGTTGACGTAACCTCTCCGCGTGCGCGCGCGCGCGCGCGAAGATTCGCCGTCGGTGTCGGAACCAGGGTGAAAAGGAAACACAGGGAATACACTCGGAATCGTGCTCTTTGTTGCACGCGCACACGTATCATTGTCACCTTGTAAATTACGACGTGGCTGAGTCATTGTCCGTTGAACGCGCCACCGCGACGCACGCGTACTTTGTTTTTTTTTTTTATTTCGAGTGCCGCTACCGCGTCCGAACACGATTCCGCCGTGAGCTCGACTCCACGTGGAACTTGCGCTCATACGAATACGTAATGAGCTATCGTTCGGCGAACCCGCATAATTCCCGGTTGTTTGTGTCACTTTGGCAGCATAATACTATCACAGCATTGTATTTCTTTCATATATCCCATATTACATAAGAACTGAAAATATTATCGAGCTGTACGTATGCGCGTGTTACCTGTTTTTGTATCTACGATATTTATGAAATATTTTTATGCATATAAAAGGAGCAATATGTCTGGAGCTTTATGTATTTACTTATAAATTTACTTACAGTTATCTAGAGAGGTCTCTTGTGTTTACGTACTTACGTTTGCAATGTTTGTTTGTTTAGAAAGTATGGGGTGTTCATCGAGCGTTGTAATTGCACATCGCTCGAGTCAATACTGCATTTAGCCTTGCGTTTTGGATTGTCTTTGATGCGACAGAAGCAATACATTGTTGAGGCACAGTAATCCAAACTCCTATTGGGAGAGATGGATGCAGTGTGCGACGAGGACAGGCGGAGACGCCTGCGGGCTTTGGAGGAGCGTATAAAGGATCCGAGAAGTGTCACAAATATCGATTGTTTGTTGGACACGGTTCAAGCTCTGGTAACAGATTGCGATCATGCGAGTGTGAAACGTATGAAAAATATAGAAGCTTATTTGAATAGATGTGAGTACCGTCTTGATATCTCATCGTGAGCATGATGTTTATTTGTCATTCGGAATTCTGATAGATATTATATTGAAATTTCAATGGTATTTACTTTTGTTTTTGCAGATGACTCTGTAGCTCAAGAGATTTATAAAATGCGAATGCGTACGGACGATTTTACTTTGATAAAAGTAATCGGCCGCGGCGCATTTGGAGAGGTGCAGTTGGTTAGACACAAATCCACGCAAAAGGTTTATGCTATGAAATTGCTTAGTAAATTTGAAATGGTAAGACTCTTGCCGTCTATTTGTGTCTGCTCATCACTTCGTCGCGTTTGTAAATATTTCTCTTCATCTGGCTTTTGGCTCATATCTGTTTAGATTAAGAGGTCGGATTCCGCATTTTTTTGGGAAGAGAGGGACATAATGGCTCATGCAAATTCTCCGTGGATAGTCCAACTCCACTTTGCATTTCAAGATCAGAAATATCTCTACATGGTGATGGATTACATGCCGGGCGGAGATCTGGTCAATTTGATGTCGAATTACGAAGTACCGGAGAAATGGGCAAAATTTTACTGTGCCGAGGTGGTGCTCGCATTAGACGCGATACATAACATGGGTTTCGTTCACAGAGATGTAAAACCAGACAACATGTTGCTTGATAGACATGGTCATTTGAAACTTGCCGACTTTGGCACGTGCATGAGGATGGATGCTGTAAGTTCAATCTATGTTTATGTCTCATTTTAAATAGCCAACGCGAATATTTCATACAATTATTTTAATTGCAATTTATTAAAATAAACACCTGAATTATTAATTTACAGTTAAAGATACAACAAATCTAAAATTTGGAAAAAAATTTTTAAAATGTCAAACATAAACTCTCTTTCTAGTGAAGACTTTTTTTTAATGGTTAAACATTTGTTTTGCAGGATGGATTAGTACGGTCCGACACTGCAGTTGGTACACCCGATTATATATCTCCGGAGGTTTTGCAATCGCAAGGTGGAGAAGGAGTATACGGTCGCGAATGTGACTGGTGGTCCGTGGGTGTTTTTCTATATGAAATGTTGTTCGGCGATACACCGTTTTTCGCTGATTCTTTAGTCGGGACATATTCGAAGATCATGGACCATAGAAATTCTCTGTACTTCCCTCAGAATGTGGAGATCTCTCATTCGGCAAAGAACTTGATCTGCGGTTTCCTCACCGATAGAACGAAGCGTCTGGGCCGTAATGGCGTTGATGAGATTAAAAGTCATTCGTTTTTCAAGAATGATCAGTGGACCTTCGACAATATGAGGGAATGCGTACCGCCGGTAGTGCCCGAGCTTTCTGGAGACGATGATACCAGCAATTTCGACGATGTTGACAAGGAAGATGGGCCAGAGGAGAGTTTTCCTGTACCCAAAGCTTTTTCCGGAAATCATCTGCCTTTCATTGGATTTACTTACTCGGGCGATTATCAATTAATGGTTTCTTATGGTAAGGAATCCGTAGACGGTCTTGAGAATCATGTCAACAATGGCACTACTGACGACGTAAAGATCTCGCAGTTGGAGAATTTGTTGGAACGTGAGAGGCGGCAGGTAGAGACGATGGAGTCAAGGCAAAAGGCATTGAACATACAACTGGAAGCGATGGCATGTCGAGAGGCCGAATTGCGCGAGGAAGTTGGCAGAGCAGATAAAGACTTGACACTGCTTAGGCATAATTACAAAGAAGCACAACGCAGAGTGGATCACGAAACAGAGGCTCGTCGTAAGGCGGAGTCGTTATTGGTAGAAGTGAAGAAAAAGTTCGACGAAGAACAAACGAGACGGGCGCGAGATGCCAGTAATTCACAGCAGACGTCCGAACGAGTGACGACATTGGAGAAACAAATTAAAGAAATGCAATGTAAACTTGAGCGAGAAACGGAAATGGTTACGAGATTGCGTAAGCAAACGACGGAGATCACCGTGGCGCGCCAAGCCGCTGAGCAAATGGCGAACGAGTTGCAAGTTGCCAGAGCTCAGTTGCAAGCGCAGCGTGATAATTTGCAGCAAGAAGTTGCTACTCTTCAGGTATAATCAAATGTTTTTCTTTAAAGATTTTTAAACAGTTTTTCAGATTCAAATTTTCGAAGAATGATAAAATATAAATAGACATAATACGACATAAATATTTACATAAATTTATGTCGGTTTTTAATATTTATAGTTTAAGTTTTCAAACATACTTATTTCATCTTTTATAGGGTCAGCTTTCTAAGGAACGTAGTTCGAGATCGCAAGCGTCATTGTTAACGGCAGAGTTGGAAACACGTCTTTCCACCTTGCATCTTGAATTAGAACGCAGTCAAGAGAAAGAGGAGAAGGCAACTCTGGACAATAGGCAGCTAACCGAAAGAGTTTCCGCCCTGGAGAAAGAAGCTGCTAGTTTAACACTGGAACTGAAAGCCGCACAGGCCAGGTACAATCAGGAAGTTGTGGCTCATCAAGAGACGGAGCGTTCGCGCATTCTTTCCAAAGAGGAAGCTAATTTGGAAGTTGTCAAAGGTACTAGTTTCAAGTTTTACATGAAGTATCATATTTCTGATAAAGTACGTCTTATTTTGTTTTGCAACGCAGAGCAAAAAAATGGAATTTTTGAAGGTAATATATGTGAATCGTGAATTTTTTCTTTTTCTGTAATATATTTAAATTATCTAATTTTATATTTTTAAAAACTGGGTTATCATTCTAATCGTTTATTTATCTTCTCATTATTGCTGCGTAATTTTATAATGGTGCATCTTATTTACGTACGTATTTATTACATTCATGAACTTATGGAAATGGATTATATTGTTATTTATATTGCGTATTTGGTTTACTAAATAGCTTTACAAGCAAAACTAAACGAGGAGAAAAGTGGGAGACAACGTGCAGAATTGCTCGCGCAAGAAAAGGAACGTCAAACGTCAATGCTCTCTGTCGACTATAGACAGATACAACAACGATTGCAGAAATTAGAGGGTGAGCACAGGCAAGAGATGGAGAAAGTCAAGGTTTTGCAAGGCCAAGTTGAGCAGGAGCAACAGAAAAGGAATGTTCTGCAGACCGAGTTAGGTCAACAAACATCCGAAGCCGGTAGACTTCGCGCTCGTGAGCAACAATTAGTCGGAGAGGTTGCTCAGTTGAGAGAAGCTAAGCGACAAATAGACGAGGAGTTACATCATTTGAAGACGCAAAGAAATGTCGATCAGTTACAATCGAAAGAATTACAAGAACAATTAGAAGCTGAAGCTTATTTCTCGGTAAACGATAACAAAAGTTTACTTTTACATGATTTTGAATCTCTAATTATTATCTAACGTTCAAGAAATACGAATAAAAAATGTTAAATATAAAAACGATAATTCAAAGTTGTAAAAATTATCATAGCTATAAAAATTTGTCATGACTTCAAAACATAATAACTTATGATTTTTATCTTCTCTTTTTTAGACTCTTTACAAAACACAGACACAAGAGTTGCGTGAAGAATTGGATGAGAAAATAAGATTGCAGCAGGAATTGGAAGAAGAACGTAGCTCTTTAGTTCATCAGCTACAATTATCCTTAGCACGAGGTGACAGTGAAGCGCTGGCCAGATCCATAGCCGAAGAAACTGTAGCGGATTTAGAGAAAGAAAGAACCATGAAAGAACTGGAGTACAAAGATGGAGTAACCAAGCATCATCAGGAGTTAAGCGCAAAAGAGCAGATCATAAATAGACTTAAAGAGAATGAGAATGAATTCAAGAAATCTGTCGATCAAGCTCTGAAGGAGAAAGAAGATTTGAGCAAACGATATAAAGAATTGCAAGACCAACTCGGTAAGGCGCAGTCTAATGTGGAGGAAATTGAGAAGCTGAGCAGCAAGTTGAAGACCGAGCAACTATTAAAGCAGCAAGCGGTCAATAAATTGGCTGAAATTATGAATCGAAAGGATCTCTCGTCGAGTGGAAAGAATAAGAATAAAGCATCTGCTGCAGATTTGAGGAAGAAGGAGAAAGATTGCAGGCGTCTGCAGCAAGAACTCACTCAAGAAAGAGAAAAGTACGGACAGCTGGCAGCTAAATGGCAGAAAGATTTACAAGATCTGCAAGTGAGTGGCATATTATTACTCGTTTTCAGTTTAAAATAGTATATATAATTGTTTAAATAAATGAAAACGATTTATTTTTTTTCTAGGCGCAACTTGTGGAAGAAAATCAAGCGAAGTTAAGGCTGCAGATGGAACTAGACTCGAAGGATTCGGAGATAGAAACACTGCAGATGAAAATCGCATCGCTAAACTCGGAAACTGCAAGCGTATCGTCTATAGAGAATGACGACGGTGAGGATTCGGTTCTGTCCGAGCATGGTACAATGAGATTGGAAGGTTGGTTAAATGTGCCAAATAAGCAGAATATTAAACGGCACGGTTGGAAGAAGCAATACGTCGTTGTTTCTTCCAAGAAAATAATCTTCTATAACAGCGAAAATGACAAGATGAACGCCGATCCAGTCCTGATATTAGACTTGAACAAAGTCTTTCATGTTAGATCTGTTACTCAGGGTGATGTTATCCGAGCTAATGCCAAAGATATACCCAGAATATTTCAGGTAACTACATCATATTTTTAGAATTTTTGGATTATTAAAAACTTAAAAGTTCTTTTTGCTACATATTGTAAATTATTCTTATGATATATAATGCTTTAGTAATTTATAATTTTTATTTATATATTGCAATGCTTTTTTATATGCATTGCATATGCATATATACATATACATAAAGTATATACATATACTTTTATAAATTTACATTTAATATTCTTACATTTAATTTGTTCAAAAAATAATATATGTATCTTTAGTACTTATCAGTTAACATATATATTTCAATCAGCATTGTTTATTAATTAATGTTGTTTACAGTTATTGTATGCTGGTGAAGGTGAAGCGAGGCGACCTGGTGACGAGGGGAATACACTGCCTGGAGTGGATTTACCACAGCTCACGGACAAACCCGGCACTCAATCGTTGAAAGGCCATGAGTTCGTGTCAATATCTTATCACATGCCCACGACCTGTGAAGTCTGCTCGAAGCAACTCTGGCACATGTTCCGGCCTTCGCCGGCCCTCGAATGCCGAAGTTTGTGTTATACCTAATCATTATTATTGTTTGTGTCGCTTTTGGATAAAAGCTTTTATATAAAATATTGTTATTATATATAGGATGTCGCATTAAGGTTCATAAAGAACATTTGGATAAGAAAGAAGATGCCATAGCCCCGTGCAAATTGCACTACGACCCAAACAGCGCCCGTGAGTTACTGTTGCTCGCAGCGAATCCAGAGGATCAGAAGTATTGGGTCTCGCGACTGTCCAGGCGCGTCCAGAAATGCGGCTACAAGGCGAACTCGCACATGGACGGCACAGGACAGCGCGTCTCGCCAAGGTAGCGTAGCCGTGCTGCTGCTCGACGTGAGCGGGGACTAAGTAGCTCTCTTATTTTGTGGCGTCGCATGATGTGGGTATAGAGAGGTTAGACTCGTTTGATTTTTCTTTCAACTTTTCTTCCTCTTTGTTTCTTCAATATTTTCACTTTAAATAATAATCGCGCATCTCGCACGAAATTGTAGATTAATGAATATACGCGATTTTAACGTTATATAAAAACCAATGAAATTCTTATGACAACTAGCAGAATAGAAAAATATAATGCAAAACGAAATAATATTAATAAACACTGTAGCATTTTATTATTAATACAGTTAAAAAAATTTTATTTTTAGTAAAAAGTAATGGTTTTTAAATTATAAATATGTATTCTCCAATTTCATAATTTGCATACAATTGAAAACTACTACTAGAAAGTGTCTTATAGTTTATTATGTTATTTTGCATTATTTTATTTTGCATTAAAATATTTTACAGATTAACCACAATTATGATGATACAATTATGACGATGAAATTCATCAACAGGAATAAAAGAAAATAATTATTCCCATATAGAGCTTGTATATATTTGTGTACATATTTGTGTGCATAATGTTTGTGTGCATGGTATTATGGTGATTATGAGTGATGATTAAAATCAATTAAATAGTTAAATGAAAAGTGTTTGGAAAAATGTATTAAGAAATGTTATGTATCAAAGAATAGCATGTTCACACAAATATTTTATCGCACGACGAGATTTCAGCTTTTGCCATTTATTATAGAAATACATTAGCTTGCACCATTTTTTTTAGTCTGCACATCGTTTAGTTACCGTGCTTCTGACGCTTTTGCGGCTTTGACTGTGATGATTTTTTTTACCTGTGTGTCTTTAAACGATATATAAAATATGACAACGGTCCTTTCTTTCTAGGGAATCCACGAGGTCAACTTTGAAGCCATATCTATCGGTGCAACAGCGATCAGCAACATTGCCAGCGAACGCCAGCATGGGCAAGTGATCCTGAAAGATGCTAATGCTGGCGGTTCTAGGAAGACTCCGCTCACGATCTAATACCCCGTTTCCTCTGACAACCGTTATGTCAGTGAGATTATTGGGCCATCGTAACGAACTACTGTGACCTCGCGATTTTCTCTACATGCCTGACAACCGAAGTAGACTGTCAATAATTTCCTAGATCAAGAGTAATCGAAATAGCGACGTGATGTTATTGATTGCAGCTAATAGTAAGTGAAATCCAAGCTGAGAATCACTGGAGAAAACAGGGTTACTTATATATGTGTATTGGGTGATAAACGAATATGACTATGGTACGGGAAGGAGGATGGAAAAAGATAGGACATATGTCCATGGTCTATTTGCGCGCCATTGTCGTTCCCGGGACAATAACACGGATCAGAGATGCGCTGTGTTTTTTGGAATCGCCAGATCATTTTATGTGAGCGACGATACGGTGTATAATAATCCTTTTGTATGATATATTCGCGATAGACTATCGAATGTTCTTTCGAGAAATGATCGGATTTTTACGGTGATTTTTCTGATTGGAACTATACTCGACTTTATACGCACATTTCTTACTGCCTTCGATTAACAATGAGTCTTGATGAAAACTTTTAGCTTAAGGCATTTTTTGGATGCTTTAAACCGAAATTTCGGATGTTTATGGTAAAGAGCGTAGTATTTTGAAATCGTTTTATGTATACATATAGAATGTTCTCTGAGAACGTGTGTATCAATAAGTACACGTTAAGAATCTTTTAACGTAACTTGTGTCTTAGAGCGGATTTATTTAATGTTTTTGATATTCGGAGCGTGTTTTTGAACGTTAGTTACGTTTTTTGAAGAAGTGTAAATAACTGGTCACACGTTCGAGAATCAATGTTTTTTTTTATCGAAGTCTGGCACGTGAGTCGGTTCCGCGGACATTGCGAGGAAGAAATAATATTGCAAGATTGACAAGCGTAAGAGTACAACAGTGAGTGCCAGCTTGTACAGCAGAGATAATGATTACGGCTGTAAGTTAAGAATTTTTATTACGCTGATGCACGAGCTAATATGACGTCCGCTGTATCCCGACAGAAAGAGGCAGACAGAGAGAAGAATAAAAGGCTAAGAAATGAGAGGACTAAATTAAGAAAATCATGCATAATCGAGAGGCTTAGAAGCTTCGTCATGGTGCCATATGGTTTGGCCATCCTTGGCATCGAAGGAAGCGATAAAAAGAAAGCAGAGAAAAATGAGTTTAGAAACCGTTTTAGGTTTATTATTAACGCGTCATCGCCGTCTGTGTTCTTTTTAAAATACCTCCGCGAGACATCGTGTCGCGCCGAGACTCGTCGGAACGAAGAGAGCCGCTTACATCGATCGATGTTAGTCAGCTAACTCTGATTAATTAAGTTCTTTTTCGCAATTTGAATTTACGGACATTAATTGCAATTAAACGAATGATGATTCTCTATTTCTCTCTCTAGAAATGGAATCTGAAGACAAAAGTTTTGTCTATATTATGTCTCCTGGAAGATCTACGAAGTTTTGCTTTCTTCCAGAAACAGAATCTCAATTAACTTTAATTTATGGATGATAGCGAGATAGAAAGGAATCAGTGACTAGAATTTAGTTAAGCAATAGACGAATTCATAAAAGCAATAGAAGTAAGTTAAGCAAGATTGAATTCAGCATTCGTTACAGCAAACTGTGATTCGTTCTCTTTCTCTATTTGGATCTTAGCTAGCATTCAATAGAGAATAGAGCTAACCGAAATTAGTTAACTAACAGTTGTCGGTGTAAATGGCTCCAAGAACTCAGCGAGACGTCCCTCAAATGGTGCTCCTCCCTGTCCTATCCATCCTTTTGGTTTGGCGAAGCAAGAACGAGCGAGAAACTTATCGGAAGTTTTTCATCGTTGCGATGATAATTGAAGTTGAAAGTACGAAAGAGAGAAAAAGAAAGGTGCATATTGATGAAAGGAAATACCATCCGATATACTGCCCCGTGCCTTCTTCATCGTTTCGATCCTCCATGAGGGCGGAACTAGAAGAAAATTGACAATGAAGTGAAAAAGAAAAAGTGAGAATGACAGTGTGAGAGTGTGAGAGAATGAGAGAGAAAGAGAAAAAGAAAAGAAGAGGAGGAAGAACTTGTTACAGCATATTTTATTATTGTTTAGTTATTTACAATCTGTATATTATTAATTAATATTACGATTAAAAGTATTTTGTAGATAATATGTGGCTCTCTTTGATAATACTTTTATAACCACTGACTGCACAATGTGGATCTCGCGGCGATCACGTTTTGAAGCAATTTTTTCCGTGACGTCTTTTTTTATTTAAATTGTGCTAGAATTGATAGCTTAAAAGTTACTCTTGCTTTCAATTAACCATGAGCGAGTTGAGCTCGTCTCAAAACTAATTGAAGATTCTCTATATATTGACAATCTTATATGTAACATTGTCGCAATCAAGAGTAGATCTTTAAAGAAATGTCTGCAGCACATAATTAAGAACTATAAAATTTGTTATATCATCTTTCTTTTCAATGAAACTGTTTCATTTTAGTCGAATAATTTCGACATTTCTAAAAAAGAGTGTTGACAAGCTAGATCTATTCGCTTGTGAAAGTAATTTGCCAGAGAGAATTCGTTTCTCCCAGAACATACGCATGGATATATATTTTCGCCTTGGGACTGATAATGAGTGGTGTATATTAAGACGTAGTGGAATAGCTATGTGGAATAGCTAAATAGTTAATAATTTTAATAATTTTTTTATCTCGAAATCAGAGATCTAAAAATCAAAATTATTGCAGACTTTTATGCGTATGAATGTTAAATCTATTAAAAACAAATTTGTTTTAAGTTAAACAATCTATTTTAATTAAGAGTGAATCGGGGAAATCTAAAAAACAAAGCTAGAAACTGCGGCTTAGACTCGTTGAAATTTATTTTGACTACATTTGAAATCCTGCGCGTGAATGAGATCATATGAGGACCAGCATGCAAAAATAATATCAATGCAAGAATCGAATAATCCATATCGTTGAATAATTTCAATTTCAAATTCCAAAAGTCGTCTTCGTGACATAGTAAACGATTAAACCTCGCGAATAGCGCGATTCAATCAGGTATCCTTCCTTATCCGATTACGCTTTCATAGTTGCTCTATATATGGACTAATCGCTTTTCGCATACTAAATCAACTATTTGGATATGTGACGCATTTTTCGTTCTTCACGGTCATTGCACTCTCTTCGCCTCGAGTGGCGTTTACATTCCATCTACTTTCCCTTGCGCGCGCATTGTGTTACTCAAGAAGGTATTGATTTTCCTCGTCGATAAATAAAAACTGATTTATCGTTTCACCAGTGTCTCGCATTGCCAAGCCGGGTGGAACGACTGTATATGTGATAGGATCTGTTTAATCTGCTGACGGCGTCTAATGGCGGATCTAGAGATCTACCGAAGCAAGGATGTACACATCCGAATATTTATGAAATCGAAATTGAATTTATAAATCTACGGATGGATTCGTAAAATACATAAGTTTGCCGTTCGAATATTCTACGCGCCATGCGAAACGAATGCGATTTTACGAAGTATCGACATTAACATCAATGCACGCGTGAACGACTTATATTGGATGACTTGGAACGAAGCGCTTTCTTTAAACATCATGTGAAATCTCGACGGCAATAATCCGATATAAATCTTCGTTATATGTATAACAGAGAGAAGGGATCCGTCCTCGCTAATGATACCCTATTATTTAAAGGCGAATAATCGATACACTCGTAGACACATGCATGCATGTCGCGCGGGACATAATCTGAGCTTAGGGGCCGAGCGAGTACAGACGAGAAGGAGATAGAAAGAGATGGAGAATCTCAATGTGAGGGGTACAAACGAGTACTCGTTGCTCTGCTCGCTTACGCAGTACGAACATACGTAAATTTCTACTTCCACGTGATTAACGACAAAGCTGTAAAAACACTTGGAAATTCAGGGGTAAGATGTTCACTGTTATCCCCCGTTGTCAATGAAGTGGGAATGACTCCACCGTTATCAAAGCTGATCATTACATATAAATGTTTTTTTCAGAGTTCTCGAGCACGCACACCACGGTCTCTAACATAATCGATCTTTTATACTCGACAATTTTTTTCTTCCAAGGAAGGTGTCTCCGTCTTTTTTTTTAAAAAAAAAAAAAAGATCTTTCATCCTCTTTCATGAAGAAGCTTTCTTCATCATTTTATCTCCAATGAAAATTCTGCTTTCGCCTGCCAAAGAAAAAGCGTTTTTTCTTCGTCTCTTCTCTTTCGTTCTCTCTCTTTCTGCAAGGATTCTTTTCCTTTCCCAAGGGAAGTTTCTTCGTTTCTTCCTTTCACGTTCATAAAATCCGTGGTGTCCCTTTTCGCTCGGAGTTTAATTTCCGACGAGACTGCGCAGTCTCGTGGCGAAGGATTATTTTCTTACAAGAGCAACCAGGCCGCGATTCAAATGCGTTAACTTTGGTTTCATCGACAGCTTCATCGGAGCTGAAGAAGATTGCTGATAGTTTCGATTTGCCGTTTGCTGCATGCTTTGCTTGTTTCTTCTTCAATGATTC